CAGGTTTGTGTATGTGTGTGTAACCCAGTGTCCATGGTAACTAAGAAGACAATTTAAATTTGGGAGCCTGTTTCCTGCAGTTAATGAAGTGATGCAGAGGCAGCAATGAAATAGATGGAAGCACCAGTGCTTTAGAGATCTGGGCAATACAAGTGTTGGATCTAGTCAGTGGTAGAGCTCAGACACAACAGCCTTCAAGTACACTGCCAAATTTTTCACTTCTGTGAGTCTCATTGACTTACCTGGCATAAACCCCAGGGAGGCAGCAGCTACAGAGTTCCAGAAGATGTGTGTATGTCACTCATACAAGAGTCCACAGTAACAGCCTGGGCTGGGGACTGTGAGACACTGCAGGGGATGCAGCAGCAAATGACTCAGGTGTGTACAGATTGGCAACAAAACCCTTGCTAATGCTCACCAGGAATGGCACCGAGCAGGCATATGCAGCATGCAGGTTTTACTTGTGTGTCACTACCAACTCAGCACAAAGAGTGATTCAACTCTTCAACTTCATCCAGATAAAATGTTCCTACAGGCATAGTTCAGCTTACAGTAATGAGAAAAATAATTCTTACAATCTAATGTTTTCCTATGACAAATCAAGACAGGTTTTACTTTAATCCTTTTCATACATAGTGAGGAAGAAGCATATATTAGTGGGTGATAATAAAGAGCTGCCTTGTATTATGCAAAGCTGAGCATCTCCATTCTGTGAGTTTCAGTGGCAGATTCATCCCCCTGCTGTTTCCATAAATGGTACCTTGTAGTTGGGTAACACTGAGTAACATTACAGCAGACAATATACTCTGTAGAAAACCTGAGGGAATTGACTAGTATGACAGAGGTGCAAAATACTTTTCTATTTTAACTGATGTACTCTTGCTGATTATCTATAGCTAATGCAAATTATTTTTCATTTTACCTTGAAGTCAACACTTTTAGATGTCAAAAGCCAGTGGGTACATAATGTGAGTGGCTTAGAGGCTCACTGAGGCTGAGAATCTTTAGCCTCACCCACAGCCCATCTTCTGCCAGAGAATTGCTAACTTAAACTCCCTGCTCCCCTCAACCTATGATTTACCATTGTAAAACAATTTGTTTCAATGCTCATCAGGGTCCAGAAAACACCAGTTTCATAGCAATTGAAAAAATAGGAAGTTTTAATTATTTTGCACTCATAACCCAGTACCCTCAATTTTTCTGTTTATTAGCTTTTTGATGGAGTTTTCAGTGTTCCGGCGCAATAAGACCCTTACCCAGTGAGGACTGCAAATATACATAAATGTTTATATACTCTAAAGTCAAGCAGCTGGAGCTTTCCTCTCTTCCCTCTGAGAGGAAATCATCCTAAGAAGCATCCTTGCTTTCAGTGCATCATGAACCAGCACAAATTGGTTGGTATATGATAATGAGAGCCCAAGCAGCAACTTTGCAACTTACCCTTTCCTAATGCAAGTGAAAAAAAATCTGTTAGTTCTTTCAACCTTAAAAGTACTGTAGGTAGTCAAGTCTCCTCTTGCTGTAAACGGATTTATTAATTACTAAGGAAGATAACAAGGTGGTCTTGACTACTACTTTTTTCCTCTCCTGTACATTGACAGTGGTAATAAGCACAAGTGATCAAGCAATGATGCTACTTTCCTGCTGTGCTTATAATGCATTGTGATGGATGTCAGGATTTCAGTCTATTTTAAAAGAACACAAAGATAGAACCAATAGTAGATAAGTATTTTAACTACCTAGCCTATTTCACCCTCAGAGCAGGAATGCAAACTTGGTTTTGTTTTTTACAATTCTCCTTCAGCATACTGAAGGAGGCTGCAGAGTGGGATTCCTGTAAGAGTGATCCGGTGTCAAACACAATTCGCATTCTAATCTTAGTGGGAATGCTCCCTGACCCAGTGCATTACTGACTGGCAGGAGCTTGAATTGGTAGATAAATGGGTGCTTTATATATACATATCAATTTAACTACCTTTTCTTTGTTCTCAAAGTACCATGTCTTGGGTCTTTTTTAAGTTTAAATATCAGATTTTTGATTTTTTTAAGTGATCAGCTGCTCTGCTTGTTGGTGCTGATTAGGAGTCCAGCTCTCCCCTTCCCCACAACACTCAGTATCCCTCTTGTACATAGTGTGAAATAGCATTATGCCTTTCAATAGCAGGGAACTGCTTCTTCAGCTCAGCCACCTCACATAACTTCACCCTATATGCTTAGTGAATAGCCTTGCCAAGAAATGAATTCTACCAGTCTGGTCATGCCTCAACTTGAAGTCCATGGCAGGCAGTCCAGAAGCTGTGGGAGGACTTCCCAAGTCTGTGATTAGCAAAGAAGCAGCACGGCTCTTGGCTCCACAAGGCAAGCAGAAGTCAGGCAAGCACCTCAATTCCTCTGCAATCCTAGCAAATGGTTCATACAGCTTCTTGGTCTGACGCTAGGCTTCCTTAATGGACTTGCTTTTAAAAAAATTAAGTATTTCCACACACTTTGAAATACTAGGTCTCTGGATTATATTCTTAATCCCTATTTTAAAATACTGTACCATTTTCCTTCAGAAGCAGCCAATATAATTTCCTTTGTCATTTACTCCCACACTGTAGCAGGCTTGACCAGCACAATTACTTGGATCTATCCTTACATAAGAGGCACCAGACAATTTGCTGCAGGCAAAGTGTGCATGAGATGGCAGATTCTTTTTTGACACACTTTCTGTAATCATACAATTTTTTAATGGATTTGCCTGCAAAATGTTGCTACTGAACCTTTTACAGTAGCCAAACTTGGGCAATTATCAGTATCTTGCTATCAAAGTGCTGATGCCTCTGAGGACAAGTGCAACTGCAGAAGGTACTACATCCCTGCTGCCATCTATTACTCAGTAGGAGAAAAGAAGCAAAGTGAAGTCACTTTTCACAGAAAAGAACAGCCTACATTACTGGAGTGCCAGTCTACTAGCATGTAATAAGTTTCCAAGTGCTCATAACCCTCTTCACTAAATTTCTGAAGGCTCTATGTGGTTAGTGGGAGACAACTTTCCAGATTCTTCTTTCTAGCTTGTTGCACATTTCTAGCTTGTAGCATTTCCTTCTTCCTTTCTGTGTATTTTGTCAGCTGCTCAGCTAAGCAACAAATCCATTGTTTCACAGTTAATCAGGTAAAATGCACTGAAGGACTATGGAAAAGCAGCTCAAGAACTATACAGTAGTTTTAACTAGTAGCCTATTTCAGAAAAGGAAAAAAAAAGACTTGTAGCTGGGTGAAAAGGGGGAAAAGAGATGATGCCCAAGCCCCTTCTCCTAAAGTGGCCTACAGACCATACTTTTCTATCTACAGAAGGCAAAATCTGGCTCCAGAGGTAGCCAGATTTATGAAAGTATGAAAGGTGTATCAGGTATGAAAGGACCACTTACTCACATTTTCCAATTCTGTGAAAACTTCAATTAGCGAAATGACCACAGCAGTTTGTATGTCAAAAAAACAAGTGAACTAACCTTTAACTTAAAGCTTGCAAACCTTCTACTTTCTAAAGCACTAAAAAACATGCCTTCACAAAGTCCCTTTCAAAATGCAGAAAGGTTAATTACCACCTTCTTTAAAGTAACTTCTTATTTTCTGCTCTAACATAAAAAAGCTGTGTTTTGTACTTGTTTACTGGTTTGAGTTTGCACAGTTATTATAGTAGAGCCAAAATCAAGGAATATGATTTTTTTCATGAGACCAAATGTAAGGTACCTCTGAAGGAAGAGCTGTGCTGTGCTCTAATGCCTGATTACTAGAGATTCAGCATACTCCTTTGTGCTTTTCACAGTAAGGAAGGAGACCACAATGCTGGTTTTCCTTAAATTGAAAGCAAGTCCACAGAATGAGGTAAATGCTTATTTGGCTTCATTTAAAGACTGCAAAATTGCATCCATGAGAATACTGGAATTTCTACCAAAAAAAAATAAATTGAAGTTAACCGAGAACACGTTAGGAGAGTACATGTTATTTTGGTATGGGCTATTCAGGAGGATAAACTATAAAAGCTGTTTAAATAACACTGCTTGTATTAAATCTGAATATTATTATAGGGGCAATAGTGAATTGTCCAAGTATTATTTCTGTGTCAAGCTGGATATAAAACTTACATGCCAAAGTATTTTCAGATTTAATAATCTTAAGTGTAATAATATATTTCTGACCTACTATGCTTTGAAAATCATTATTCATTACAAAGGAAGCATGTTTTGATGTTAGCAGATTGAATCTATTCCTGGTCACTATAAATTCTAGAGCTAGTAGGTAGCTGTCCTTTTCAGCCAGTGCATTTGCTGTGCACTGATGTGTATTAGGAGGTTAAGTGCACTGGAGAGAACTGCATTCCTCTGTCAATCCCAGAACTGCTCTTGCTTGAATGTTGTCTGTACAGTCTGTTTCTATAGTAGGCAAACTCTAAAGGCACAGAGTAACAAATCAGCCTTTCTTTTCTACCTGCTCTATTTTTTGGTCTCGTGTCCTCCAATCCAAATCTTTTCAGTACAGCAAAATTACAAAAACATCATTCAAGATAGATGGGGGCAGATATCATTTACAGTGTAGGCAAACAGTTAAATCTTTATCTTCTGTAAAGAGAAAATGAATCTTTATCTTCTGTAAAGAGAAAATGAAGTTTGGGGAGGATTTTCATGGGAACAATCTATTGCCTATTCCATTCTTGGAGAAAAATTGTAAGCAGACTAAATCAAGGGGCTTGTGATGTTCAGCCTACTCTTTTCCATCACCAATCCCAGAACAGACACATCTATATACAAGTGCCTGGTAGAGAGATCAGCTGTGCAGTGCAAGAGGGTTGCTATGTTTCCCAGATGCCCAGGGAAAAAAGACTAAGACAGAATTTGAACTGTGCTGTAATACAGGAAGCAACTGTTGGTTCAGTCCACATGACCTTTCAAGCCCTACCCCTTGGATAACAGGGAAAAAAGATTTGTGTTTTTTTTGGCAGGAACCACAAAATTCAGCACTCAAATTTAACTAAAGGGTAGTTTTTTATTTCCCATTAAGACATCTCAAAGACATAACTGAATGCTAAAAACCCACAGAGGGGCACATACAGCAAATGTGGTGAAGTACAATGTGAATAGCCCCAGGGGTTCAAATAAGGTAGGACCATTAGCAAACTGGAGGAAAAAAAAAAAAGAAAACTCTGCTGAAGATGTTGTACTTTCTTCTCCATTTACACTGAAAAACAAGTCAAATCCAACAAAATCCTTGTATCTCTAAAAAGACAGTCAGTCCTGGCTAATGAGTTTATCAAGATGGCAACAGGATGACTATAATACAAAACGTTCACTACTACACTCTGTACACACCTGTTGTCCAAACCCTCCCCAAACCCATGTAGCAATGGTGCCCCCATTATTTGCTTGCTTGCTGGGCCTGCCTGCGGAGGAGGACATAGATCTTCTCCTTTATCCAGTCTTTGTTGTACGGTTGGTATGTCTGAGTATCAGCACGGTAACTGCAGAGGAAACAAGAAAAAAATGCCAGCCTGCTCTGTAGTACATTTACCAGAACTTCACAAACAATTAACTGTCCTCAAGTGTGTGAGGCAGAAAGTGGTGTACAGACAGTAATACCAGAAATAGGTGGGAACTGCCACTTTACCAAATGGATTTATCCTGTTGTCCAAAAAACAGTTGTCCAGAAAATCAGTCTGAGCTTGACAAAAACTAGATGCTCCAAGCACTACTGAGTGACTGGATCACAGTGTGTTCACATTTTAAATTCATGCATTTAATTACTTAAGGGAGACAACAAGTAGAGAATCTTGGTATTCTAGAGCTCAGCCTGCAGAATAGTTCCACCAGGAAACAGTCTAATATGTCTTAATGAGTCAAATTGTTTTCAACATTACTTCAAGGATTTAAGTTTTCAAGTGTTCAACTTCTGTCTGGAATTTTTTTGAAAATTATTAAGATCTTAAGATTATTAAGATACTAAGATTATTAGGAGTTTTTCCAGGAGCAAAGGCAGACTCACAGATGGATGACAAAGGACTCTTTGCCAGTTGGCACTGAGGGCAAGCTTACATCTAACAAGGATACTTCATAAAAAACAAACTGAAAACAAGAACCTACAGATGTATTTTCTTTGCTATTCAAAGATAATTGATAAAAGCAGTTCACTAGCAAGGGGCAGAGAATTCAGTTATTCAGGGCAAGCTGAATTAAAACATAATGAGACTGAAAAATGAAAGCAATCTGAAGCTCTGTGTAGGCTCATGTCCTCCTTTCTCTGTCAGGCATTAAAGCTGAGTATTTTGTTCATGAAGGTGGTACTTTCAGTGAATGATTCAAGAACTACTGAGGCCCTCATCAGTCTTTGAATCTTAGAATACTTTTATCTCTGATCAGATAAGAAGAGTGAGATGGTCAGTGGTAGGAAGCTGAGTAAAAATCCCATATTAATTAATTCCAGAACAATTTATAGTTCTTACCTAAGGAAAAAAACCCTAAGATGTTGTTTCTAAGTCTTACTATTTAAACCCTAGCATGACTGGATCAAGGCCAAACAAAGAGCTTCAGTATATGTTCATACAGCAGTAGTTCTAGTGCAATGTAAGAAATGCTTTTTTCAGGAAACGTTACTGATTTCTACCCTCCATCCCCAAATCCTTTCATAACGCTACACAGCAAGAGCAGATATCAAGTACTTCAGGAATTTCCACGAACACAAGACACACCTAGTGCTGTGTGCCATCTGGTGGAAAACTGCAAGCTGAAGTAGCATTTGGCAGGACACTGATTTCAGAAGCCTAATTAAGAAAGGCACAAGATTATCTTAGAAAATAGCTGCTACCTCCTAAAACAAGAGGCTAGTTTCAGTCTGTTACATGAACTTTAATCTTGATCAAAACAAACTTTTGGCTGCAATGCGCTTCTGTAGCCTTCTGCCCTACCACAAGTACTGTCCTCAGCTGAAAAAAATTCTGTAACCATTCTGCTTCTTGAGGAACTGGACCAGCAGCACAAAGGCAAATTTAAACAGGCTCTAGTAGTAATAAAATGGTAGTAATAAAATAGCTGTATTGAACTGTTGGATTTCAGTCAGCTTCAATGTGAGTAAAATCCAAGTGGAACCGTTAGGTTCTAAACCTTCTTTAGAGGTACCTTGTATCTAATTGGACCATATAGTTAATTAGATCTAATTACCTTGCCGTTAATTGGACTGGCCAACTTGCTAGGGCAGCTGCAATACTGCTGCACTACAGTTACTGCTAAAACCACATAAAACAGCATTCTGTTAAACTCACACAAAAGAGTTTAGAGAGAAGACTTCTGACTTTCCTAAGTCGTTTTCAATGGCCTTGTACAACTGAACTTACACGAGACAGCTGAGGTCTGCCAAGTCATCAATGAAGTCAAACAACTGGCTGATATCATATGTAATGGATGGACTGTTGGGATTCATTCTCTTCAGATGCTCCTCGTACATTTTACAGACTCCTACAGAGAAAAAAGATTAACAATGCAATATTAAAAAAACTGTATTAGCTGAAACTTCTTCGGCTCTTAATCCACAAATAAAAGTTTATATTATCACTATAAAAACAATCAAATTTTTTAGAGTTGAAATTCTTTTGTTCTTAGTAATTTGCATTGAAACATAATACTATAAAATCAGGTAAGATGCAAGGAAAGAGAAGTTTTCATCATCTAGGGGAAAAAGTTTTAGTTCTGTCAAATATGTAACTTTCCATGCAGTAAGCTCCAACAGACATCTGGAACTGCCTCTAGTAATTCTATGACAGCAATTAGAACATTTATTCCTACTGCACAAACACCTGAGAAACAGAAGAACTCATACAAATGAGTCAAATAGGGTACTGAGGTAAGAGTGGCAGCACAAAACTATACATACTGTTAAGGCACTTTTATTTATTGAAACTAGTCCACTAGTAATTCAGATACCTTTGAGAAGAATGTAATATTAAAATGAGCACACAGACTTTACATGTTCTTTGTTGTATTTTTGTTCACCTCACAAAACCTCCTGCAGGATTAATGTTAAATGAACTACAGCTCTAATACTTCATTCTTCTTTTCATGCTCATTATGTGTATCAAAGTTTCGCAGGATCTTTACTCTGGCACATGTGCCATGAGACTGCAAATTATGTGTCAGTTGCACACAATCCTTTATTTAATATATTATTTCCAGTAGCAATCTTTGCCTCACATTGCAAAGAAAAGAATAGTGAGAATTAAGTGCTTATCCTGCAATGAAATGCACTGAAACAAGTCTGCTGCATGGGCCCAGAAAGAATATTGTCTACTCTCCCAAACTGAATGTGGTTTCATCTCTAGTTAAGTCAAAACCAGACAATCAATAGAAAAAGGAAGTTTTAGAAACAAATAATAAGTACTTTATAGGTTGTTAGAACATTGGTAAGCTAAAAGCATGAGGGGTTTTTTTATGAATTACCTTTGAAAAACATGAAGAGCAACTTACTTTCTTATTAAATTTGTGAATATGTCAAAACTAGGATTTTAACAACAATTTTTTACTCCCATGTCTGCATCCACCCACCTTCCATGCACTCATTCACCGATTCATAATCAGCATATGTTCTGCCTTCTGGCCTCTTGGTAGGCTGGACAAGTAGAATTGTGTGGGACTGGAAAACAAAACAAACACAAAATACAGGTTACTTGCACAGTTTGAAATGATTTTTGTTTGAAAGAAGGAATAAAAAGAAGCATAACAGTAAAATATTAGACTAGCAATCAAGGACACAGACATTTTCCACACAGCATTTATAATTTATAATAATGTTAATAAGTTTTGTTTCCAGCAAGTCCCATCAATCCTTATGGAATTTTAAAATGTGTAAAATCACCAGTAAAGCAGCTATGGTGTTGAAAAAAAAATACCACCAAAATAGTTTTTATTCAGACATACAAGCAAATCAATAAAGTCCATGTATAAGAGCTGTAGCATTTGTGCATTTACTTATTTTATTCCAAATGCAAGCTGTTAGTAAAATTTTCAATGCCCCAATTAAAGAGCAAAGAGGGAATCTAACTTAACCTGAAAGATTTTAACAGAAATGGCTATATTGAGTTATCCATTTCACTTCAAGGGAACACCAATGATATAATAAATCTCCGCTTAGCACTCAAGATTATTTCTTGCAAAACAGATGTACTGGTTTTTCACACTTCAATGAATTTACTTAAACAGTAATTATGGCACAGAAAACTGTTCCAAATGTTGGAGTCCATAAGCTTGTTCTTCTGCAGGGAAGGCTTAGATGATTGTACACTCTGTGGCTTCCATTATTTCCATAACATTTTTCACTTGGCTAGAACAAGTAATTTGAGCAAAGAAGCAAGATTTTTAAAGTGTACACAATCTGTGATCTAATTAACAGGTTGCATACCACAGAAAGTTTGCAAGCATGCTGCAAATGGCCGTTTCCAGTGCTGCTGATTGGATCCAACATTTTCAGTGCTAATATATGAGGTGAGCACACAACATAGAGGCAACTGCAGGGTAAGACATCATTTGGCTTAGATTAATCAGCAGCTGACAGAAAAATCCTGACCCATACTTTGGAAATCAGTGAAGAGAGCAATTCAGTGCTCATGAAAGGCAGTGACAGAAAATAGAAATGGCAACGGTTAGGATTTACAGGAAAAACAAACATCCCATAACTGACAGTGTTTCTGTCCTTGGAATGTAGTTTTCAGTTCTTTAAATTGTCTCAAGATATCAGTAGCAGATTCTGAGAAGTTTAGGAAAATGTTACACAGAGAAAAAGGAGATTTTCCCTAATCAGAAATGGAAAAAAGGGGAATTCTGAGCTGCACGCTGTAACAACAAAAATCATACAAAGGAGAGTAGATAATTTAAATCCACTTTAATGTATGCCAGAAGATGACTGATTTGAAGGGAATTACCCAAGGGGAGCTGGTATCTGGCTGTTCCTAAGTGCATTGTACTTGAACAGGCACGTCTTAGCAGGGAGTCCAAATGACTGCCAAAGATTATCATAAAATAATTTTTCCAGCACTATCATTTTAATTAGATGGTCACTGAGGAGTGCTAAATGAATGTATAAATTTGGAAATTATCCAAATAATCAGATTATAGAAAAATCAGTGAGCTAGACATGTAAACCAATTCTTTCAGAACTTCATAGCAGAAATCATTTGGGCTTCTGACTTTAAGCCATTTATCACTTCAGACACTATACAATATCCATTGTCAGATACTGGCCCAGAAAAATATTAAAATTAATGCCACTGGATCACGTGTATTGTAGAATTAATGCTTTTCAAACATTTTCTTTGGTAACTTGACATTATTTTACTTCAAAGGAAAATTTGATTTGATAAAATTGCTGTTCCTGTCCTACCACACAGGTATAAAAAAAATGCCATGTTAAGAAGCCTGAAGTCTCCTCCAACTATTATTACCTGCCCTGTATGCCTACATGACAAAACCAAAACAAGAGCCATAAAACGTTCTGCATTAGCACCAGGCTACCTAGAGAAGCCAAATATGGAACTTTTTTATTAATGATGCAGATATTGAATTTCTTTGCATTTGCCTTAAAAGCATGGTTGTACTGGCTGCTTATAAGCAGGACATGGAATGAGATGTCACATGGTTTATATTATACCAATTTCGAACTTCTAGAGGGCACTTTGGAAATTGCTCCTGTTACTGAAGGCAGAACCCTGTAAAACTGGTTAAGGCAGTGCCAAGAACCAAACCAGCAGGACTTAAAAGCTATGCAACATCTGGCCAAAGAGGCTTCCACCAAATGTAGTGTATTTGACAATAAAGCGGGGGAAGAAAAAAAAAAAAGGGAGCCGAAAAAAGAAAAGTGGAAGATATTGTAAGAATTGTGGAACACATATTGTAAGGGTAAGATGTGCAGTAATGCAAACACCAACCAGTAGCATACTGCACATACCTAAATGCCTGGCTAAAAAAGTGGTCTAAAGACCACCTTTCACTTTGGCCAACAGGGATAGGGCTTGAGGCTGCTCATCATGGCCGAAACCAACCGCACTGGAGCAAGTACCATGCAGATCTGGAACTTGGCTGCAAACCAACAAGCAGCTGTCCTCCCACCGCACGGCAACAACCTGCTTCAGCACATCTTCATTTATTAGATGAAAGCAACAAACCACGATGAGAGGGAGGCCTTTGAGCTTCAGCGTGCCATCCCCAGAGCCCACCAACGCAAGCTCCCGCCTTTCCCTCCTCCGAGCAGAGGGGAGGAGCAGGGAAAGCAGCATGGAAAGCGCAAATCAGCCATTTAAGGCCGGCTCGTTCGACGGGCGAGGCTCGCGGGAAAGCGCTGCACTTCCAGCAGCGCTCTGAGACGGGGCCGAAGCCGCCGGGGGAGAGGGGCGAGAGACTCCAGCGCGCCGCTCCCCGAGCGCCGCCGCCTTTGTGCCCCCGCCCCGTACGGCCCTGCCCCGCCAAAATGTGCTGCCGCCCACCCCGGCCCGCACCACCGGCCGCGGCCTTCCCGCCCGCAGTGACCGGAGGACAGGGAGAGGAAGGCAAGGGAAGGCTGCCCTGGCGGGCGCGGCCTGCTCAAAGCCCGGCCGTCCCGTCCCGTTCTCACCATGGCGGCTCCGCTCCTTCAGCACCGGCGGGCAGAAGTGGCGCGCGGCGATCCCCCACAGGCCCCCGCGCCCGCCGGAAGCGCCGCCGCGCCAGCGGNCCGGCTGGGGGCCGAGCCGGCCGCTGCCGCCGGGCGAGAGAGACATGGCTGAAAGCCTCTCCTGGGAGCTCGGCGTCTGCACGGGTTAAGGCGTGCGGTGCGGAGAGGTGGAAAAGTTGCTGTTGGATTTCACTTCAAGGGACCGGACAGAAAGCGGCGAAATGGATGACTTCCCCTCCATCTGCCTGCTGTCCCTGGCCATGCTGGTCGCCTGCTATGTGGCAGGAATTATACCTTTGGCAGTTAATTTTTCCGAGGTAAGACAGCTCCGCCAAACTGCTCATTGGCTGCTAAAGGAGAAACCAGAGAGACTGGGGGTTGGTGCCGTCCCCTTGCAATACGGCAACGCTGTTAAGGATGAAGCTTTATCTTTAAAATCTATGAATGCAATATTAATTTTCATTCAAAACTGCTGTGTAAAATGATGCTTGTTTCACAGCGACCATTTAAACTTAATCGGATTTGAGTCAGGTCTGTGCTACAGGTGAAGCGAAGTCTCAGCGCGTAGTGTAAGGATATGAATAAGCATGGTTATTCTTAGAAGCTTGTGTAAGAAATTGCTGAAGTCCGTGATTATCTCTTATGCGCCTGTGGGCTACTCAAATTAAGGCTTTTAAAACCAATTCCAAGAATATGCTTAGAAAAACTTTGATTCACAATTTTATTCACGGCTTGCACTGTTGAAAATTAAGCTGTAGCTTTTTGATTACTATAGAACTTCAAGTTACTGCCCCGTAACTCAAGGTATTCTTTTGGAAAAATATCTTGATTAAATAAGGTACTATTAAAGGAGAGGGAAACTTTCATAGATTGGGTAAGTTCCCAGACAGTACAGGAGTTCCTGATTAGACATATTTGTGTGCTTCTAAGAAATATAAATTGTTGATGTGATGAGTCAGAGGGCTGCTTGCACCTGTCCTTTGGTCCCATCATTACTAGGAGGCTTCGAGAGCAGTCGAATCCTGAGCAGCATGGAAAGGCTTTTTGTTTTAGGAAAAGTACAGCTCAGCTAAATAAATTGAAACCTAACAGTGTATTTGGGCATATTCACATGAATATCAGCAGAGTTCTGTTTTGCCAGTGCCTCATGGGATGCTTTGGTGGACCTTACCTTATGTGTCTTCAGTGTTGTTGCTTCCACTGTCTTGCTCTTCAAAACTCACGTCCGCCCTGAAGCCCACTGAGGCTTTTCTTGCAGATTGAGAGCATTGCCTGGTCTGCTAATAATGTCTCTTTTTAAATTTAATTTTGCGTTTCGTCATGTATGTGCTTAATAGTCACCTGTTAACTCTTAACTTACATTCAGTGATGTTTGAAGTTAAGGTTCTTGATCTGTCTCTGTGTTTTCTTTGTGTAGTTGAATCAGTGGTCTCCTAAACCTTTCAGGCTTCTAGCACCTGCAAGAATACAGATCTGTTGTGGATCCAAAACTGCCTAAGCAGTAATCATGTACTTAATTAGCCTTTTGTGTGTGTGGTATTTTATCATCAGTATGCAATGTGCAGTCAAATTTATTGTGGTATCTTAAGCTCTCAGAAATTCTTGACTCGATTTTACACTTGATTTAAATCTTAGATATTTTTAAGGGTTTTGCATACAGTGCTGGTTTAAAAGAGCATAATATCTCTGCACATGATGTACAAGTCCTAACTAATCCTGGAACTATCTAATTGGAAGTTATAGTTGTTTTGTTTAAAATTATTGCTTAGGATTCTGCAACAAAGACAATTTCAAACTGAAATGATTGGACCGTCCATTTTACAGTTTGCAAAAAGTTTTGCAGGTAGCCAAAGTGAGTAAAAATGCCTCTTCCCACTGGCCATTTGTAATGATTCAGTTGAAAACTAAAGTAAATGCTGTGCATAATATACTCCAGATGCTAGAGAACAATAAAATTATTCATTAGTGTTAATACATTCCTTCAGATTATTTCTTTTCTGTGGAATTTAATATTTATGTTCTGATGTCATGCTGTGTTCTATTGTTTCAATTAGATTAGGATATTCTTGAAAGTATAAAACTCTGGGAAAGCCAGGTATGACTAAACATGAATGGTAATAAGGTACCAACTGAGCAGAGTTTTGCCATAGTTCTGTGTGCAGAGGTACCCTTTCACTTTAATCCTAATTTACAGGACTCTGTTGGTCTAATTTCGGGCTGGAAGCAGCACTTTACCAGTTCTGAAGCTATCTCTTAAACTGTAGTCTAAATGGGACAAAAAAAAATTGTAGCAGTTTGAATGTTTTGGTGGTGTAACAGAGGCAGGAACAGGGGCCGCTTCCTCCTGAAAGTACGTGTGTGTTTTTGATAGGTCCAAGTAAGAGTTTCAATGTCATACAGACTTAAAAAATATAGAGCAGTGGAACAGTTTGCTAATTTGAGGAATTTGAGATTTTTCCCATGGAGTTTTATCACTGCTTACTGTGTTGCTCTTGTTTTTAACGTGCGAATGTGTTTACCAGAAGTGGTTTGATTTCTTGGATAAAACTGTACTCCTTTTGCCTATCTATGTAGGCTGCTCTTACTAAATTTCTGTATTCACCACACATAACTGTTTTGTACTGAAGAGAAGATGGTGATTTATCTTGAAAGGATAACTTGTTAGTGTGTATTCTTCTCATTGATCTTTAAAACTCACAGGTGCCCAAGTAAAGGAAAGCTATACTATGTATTTGCAGTTTTAATAAATCAGTATTACTTCTGACACTTTCCTCTGTGTTTATGTGTGTATGCAAAAAATACTATAGCGTTGCAGATAAAACAATTGGTTTTTCCTTGTATGGTATTCTTGCAGAATTACTTTATGAACAGCAGATGTTGAAAATTTATTTTCTCATATAGATTGCCACTGTATGACAATTTACCAAGTACAATTATTGTATATGCTAGTATACCGTGCATGTTTGTGGGAACTTTACACTTGTTTTCATCTCTTGCACATTACTGTTTGAGTTTTCCCCAGTAATGCTGCAGTTTTTCCCTTTTGGTCGCATTTGGCTTGGTTTCAGGAGCTGGTTGTGCATCTCCCTAGTGCCTCCTGCTTCTGTGCAAGTGTTGCAAGTGTTGGTGAGACTGAAAAATTTGTGTACAAATTACAACACATGAAGGAGAATGGATGGCATAATAATGATAAGCAATAAGTGGTTTCCTGCTATTCAAATGTTGACCTCTGTCTCTAGGTCCTCAGTAGTTAAGATCAGTGTTTTGGTAACACTCACTGAGCATGGAAGATGATGATGGTTCTGCCACTAAATACAGGCTGTACAGTTACGTTAGGAGGATCTAAATTCCCATGGTTGCGACATGTTATGTGATAGGGGTTCTTACAGAAATTAATTACTCTTACAGAGTAATGGCCTCTGCAAACTGTCATATTATGTAATTGGATTTTAGTACGTGGCTTTGACTTTAGCCTGTCAATGTAGTCACAAGGAAGTTATTCGGTGAATTTATTGGTGAAACAGAATGTAGTTTGGGAGAAAGATACCTCTAAGCTTTCTGCCCCAAACTAGAATATAACTAGGGAGGTAACTCTAATAGTAGCAAGTACTGAAAAATTATGTGTGATTTAAATTTTTGTTGTAGAAACTCTTACAAAAATATGAATAAAACTATTATTCTTTATAGAAAAACATTAGGTTTATTTATTGTTGCTAAGGTTTAATTGCAAATTTTCAAGATTTATGTAACAAATAAACCCCCTTCCCCAACCTCTGTTAATAAGGGAGAGTAAAGAAAGCATTTTCATTCTTAAAGATGATACTTTTGTACTTACTTGCAGGAGAGATTGAAGTTGGTGACTGTTCTGGGTGCTGGGCTGCTGTGTGGAACTGCCTTGGCTGTCATTGTGCCAGAAGGAGTACATGCACTTTATGAAGACATTTTGGAGGGTAAGAACCAAGCCCAGACAGCCTCATTCAAGATAACTTAGATCATGGTGTGTTACCATATACTGAGGCTTCTTCTTAGGGTTTTTAACGTGAGGTTGATGGAAGAGCAGCATGACACAAAGCAGGCATACCATAGGTGTGATATTGCACATTGAGGGATATGATCAGACTGCAGATTGAGGACTCTTGCTGAGTTATCCGGTCATTTGTGGGTCTGGATACTGTACTGTTCATGGAATAACAGCCATTTATGGCAGGTCATGTGTAGTGTTTCTTATTCTAGGGAGAGCTTAACTTCCACTGGGACTTCAAAGGAAGTGTAAGAGTGCCTTTGGCAGAGAATGAAATTATGGAGTATTTGCTGCTTCTCTTTGTAGTTTAGATTGCTTCTCATTAAAGCAATTGCAGGAGGTGTTTTACAAGTCTTTGTCCCTGCCCTAATGAGAATTTCCTCCAAAGCTGAAAAGCATCTTGGAATTAATATACTTAGCTGAAAATTATGGTTATATAGGGCTAATTTACAGAGTAGCAGGCATTTCTTCTTGTGTGGTGGTATACATTACACATCTAAATCTCCGTGTTCAAGAATCCAGTTCTAGTCTTCTGTCACTGTCTTAACCACCTCATCATCTCTAATGAAGAGCTCAAAGTGAGCAGAGATTGTGTCTTGCAGGGATGTTTGTGTATAGCCAAAAGCCTTAACAGAGCTCAGTTTGAGGTTCTGACATTGTTTTAAATAGCCAGGGCTCATCACCTCTGTTTGGAGTGCCAGTTAAATTTTGCTTTTGCTTGGAGACTTGTGCTATTAGATGACCATTGCATGTATGAGATTTTTCCAGTATGCTAGAATCAAAACTTTGAAGGTAAATGGCAATGGTTTACTGATTGCAGGGGAAAGCACTATAAATTTGAGGCTTTGGAGAACCTTGCAAGCATCTGGTGCTTGCTAATCTGGAATTGAGAGGTAACTGTGGTCCTTTGCTTTTTCTGTACCTACTGGGTTTTGTGTTTCTAAACTTTTAAATGTCATTTTAGTAATACGCTTTGATGTATACTGTTTTTGCTTCCACTAAATTTATGTTGTTCTGCTTAGATTTAGAATAAGTA